ATTACAGGCATGAGCCACCGCGCCCGGCCTAATTTTTATATTTCTTGGTAGCGACAGGGTTTCACCATGTTGGCCAGGCTCCTCTCATACTCCCGACCTCAAGTGATCTGCCTGCCTTGGCCTCCCTAAGTGCTGGGATTACAGGTGTGAGCCATTGTGCCCAGCCAAAACACAGTAATTTTAGTTCTGTAGAAACGTAGAAACTTAAAATGAGGAGGAACCTTAGGAACCTGGTTATATGTTCTTCCAGAGATGGGTTCAAATTGGGTCTCTGCCATTTTTAAGCTGTGTGGTTTGGGAAAAGTTGCTTAAATTTTCTGTGCCTCAGTTTCTACACCAGTGAAATGGAGGAAAACAACAGAACCTGGAATAGAGCAAGTTTTCAATGACTGTTGCCCATCAAAGTTAATTATTTCTAAGGTTAACAGTTTAGCTGATTATGGGCCTTCAATAAATTTAAAACTTCATAAATATTTTCTTTGAGAAGTCTTCAACATCTTATATGAAAGCCAGACATTGTTCAAGTCAGATGTCTTATTAAATTATTTAACCCTAAGAGTAGAAATATATGTGAAACAGAACGAGACTTTAAAACAAGTTATCTGCCATGGACTTTAGATAACCTTTTCCCTAATAACCATGAAACCATTATATACATATTAAAATACATGAATAGGAAAATAAACCCTATTAATTCATACTCTTCTAAAAATTTACAACATGGTCTAGGACTTAGTAAACCCCTGCTTAATAAAAAATGAAAATTAACAACGTACACAGAATCTTGCGAGAGGTATTTACATACTTAAGGAAGCAAACTTTTGAAACACCCCTAGTTCATGGGGCATGTCACCTATATACAATTGGTTCACTGGGTAAAAGGAGATCATTAAAATAGCTCCAAGAGGCCAGTATTGTTAGGCTAGACAGAGTGCATGCTTCAAATGTAACGAAAACCTATAGCTTTAAAGCTATTACAAAATCAAGATTTTCAGTTAAATAAGGATTTTCCTCCTAATAAGGAGATTTTATTACACAAGGATAGTTATTAATATAACATACTCAAAGTACTAATGCTGAAAAAGGCTAGTCAAATTCACCCTTTTGGGATTTTGCCTTTGTGTTGCTACTTCCTCAATATTTAAAGGTCAGAATCCACATACCTAGCTGAGGTTAGGAACGACTGGGAGATCTGGACTCGTGATTCTGGTAGAGCAGATGGGAAGGGCAGTGTGGTCGTTCACTCAGGCTACATGCCCAAGCAATTGTTGTAAATTTAAGTGGATTTAGAAATGCAGTTTGCACTCTCTCCTACACAGAGCTTTCTAGAGTGTGTTCTATTCTGTGGGACATAACAGGATTTTGGCAATGTTAGGTTAAACAAAGTTAAACATGCTTTGCTGCAAGATTTCTTGTGACCTTCAATGTGGCAATAACTCTTTGGAGAGATGCAGTACAGATCATCTCCTAAACTTACTTTGCTCAGAAGCCTTTCTGGTAAAGCATCTTACCGAACCAAGTTTTTCAGAACATGCTTCTGAAAACACTGTAATAATACATCCACTGCATTGACAAAGTCAACAGTGCTGAAATCCCTTTAATGGCAGCCATGATCCCAAGGATATAGTCTAAACTGGATGGCCTTGAACAGATGGGGTCCTGCTTGTCTCCCCAGCCTCTATCTAATTTCTCATCACACCCTTTCACACTCACAATCCTATAAGAAGGAACTACTGGTGAATTTTTTGGAGAAGGATTCTTAACTCCTCCAAGTACACACTCTTACTTGTTCTTATATCTGCTCCATATTAGTCCCATTATGGCACGTACTGCCTTGATTCTAATTAGGTCACTGAGGTTGGGACTATGTTCTATACACTGATATTATGCTGTTCACCTGGTACCTACCACAGTGTGTGGCACGCAGAAGGCCATAAATATATTCATGGAATTATTGAAATGATACCTATTGCTGGATGGGCTGAGGGCACATCCCCTGGCTGCTAGTAATTTAGGAATGTCTGGACCCCACTCTGGAAAGATATAAAGGTTTGCTTGTGCATATATGGGCAGCAGAAGGTTCCTATTCTTCCTTAGCCACAAGGTACTCTTTTATGAAAGCAGATCTATTGATACATAGTAAGAAGGAAGCAGAGGTGGCACATTGTCTGGAATTTATGCACAAAGTTCTCTTTCTTGTCATTGGGACACTAGGCCCTATCAGATGAATATAGGAAGATGACATAGACTTGGCATAAAGGAAACGGAACCTGGTTGAACTCCTCAGAACTGCCAACTTTGGCTCAGAGCCAGGACCGCAGGATAACCTGCTGTAGGTACTTGTTCATCAAGCCCTTCTTTCTTTGGCATCCAGAGAGATATCATCACAGTTGGGGATGCAGTCATAGTAATTTCTTTCCCATCACTGCTACGGCATCTCAATTTCTTTCTTATTTTGGTCATTCAAGAACAATAGCATTGATGCTGTGTCTACAGCTCCCACTCCGAAGTTTTGCCTTGTGGCAGGCTCACAGAAAAGACAAAGATGGTCCAGTGTCCCACAGTGAGAAGGGACTCAAATTGTTTCTCCAGACTTGAAATTCTCTGTGACTTTCAAGGAGTTCTTTAGGATGGTGACCGAGAAAGCTGGCAATCTTGCAGGACGATATCATGAGATCAGAAGTAGCCAGCATAAATTCTGCTTCTTCTAAGGTCACTGGCATAGATTAACATCTCTAAATCTTGGTGACTGGCATATGTTGCTCAAGATGCAAGTCTTGCTTCTTGCTTTTTTCTTCTAATCTTCCTGCACAATTAGGATGGGGTTTCTGATGTCTACTATGTCACAGTAGAGTCCTGCACAGGTCAGTTTCTCAAAGATTCTTCTCTGGCCATCACACAGTTACACAGTTCTTCCCTTCCCCACATCTGGGACTTGGAGCTTGTGGCTGCCACTCTCATCTTGAAGTGATAAAAGATGGGTGCCTGTGTGTGTGCTTGTTTGTGTGTACATATGTAACAGTTTTTCTTTTGGGTATAGCCCATGCATGTACTCAAATCAGGCAGCAAAATACACTGTGGTTGTGCAAGAAGAGCTCCGTTTGTCATTGGGGAACTCTGTGGTAAAACCACAAAGTGTGCTGTCCCACCTGCTGGTTCCCCAAAGGGAAGGATGAAAATTCTTGTGTGTTTTTGGTTTCCCTTCATGGTAGGAGAGGTAAACAGCTTGAGGGGAATACACGGTGCTGCTGCTGTTGTCATTTTTTCCCCCAGAATGAGAAACTCTCAATGAATAATTAAATTCTGAGTCACAGGAAAAAGCTAAAATGAGAACCTAACTTTCAAAACGAAAGACCCAGTGCTTAAGACCCTCAAATTTGTTGCCTCTGTAAATCAAGCTGCAGTCTTGTATGGGTGATGGTAACGAGTGCAGTAGGAGGAGGGAAAAGAATTAAACTACAGTGAAAAGGGAGCAAAGTGAATGCAGAGTCAGAGCTTCCCCTCTGTGGCAAAGCCATGTGTTTCCTGAGTCAACAGAGAGATAATTTAGTGAATATGTGAAAAAGATAAAGGACACTTTGCTACCTCTTTTTCTAATTTTTTATAATTCTCTACATGCTTTCAGAATCTAAATAGACTCATTTGCTGCAGACCCAGTCCAGTTAAATTTTGACTGAGACTTGAAGAGGGGCAGTTTGATAACAGAAATTTGTATATTAACTAAATAGCCTCCAGAAAAAGTATGGCAATTTCAATGAGAGATATACTCTCTTAAGTTGGTTTTACTACTGAGAGGTAGCCTCACACCCAATTATTTTGCTGTCCACTTTACCATATAATCCAGTGACTCTTTCACTATATAGACCTGATTAATTGAAGAAAAATATAGCTTCTTATCGCTGACATTATGAGGTTAGAAATAGCATCCTATGCTAATCTGCAATGCCAAGAAATGAAGATGGTTTAAATCAGATCTCATGACTAATGCATAAGATCCAAAGTTCTTTTATTCCTGGCTATTTTAGAAAACTGGGGTGTATTTTTACCCTAAAAACTAATTCTTAAGATTTATTGAGATAATACGAAATGCCTTATAACTAACATCTCACAATCGAGATGTATTGTCTACTGATTGTCAGAGAAATGATAATTTCTCCATTTAATTCAAACAATATGTATATGCAATGGTTTAAGTCCATATTCAAGAATATTTGATCTTTAGTTGTTGTTATTTTTGTTTTAGACAATATCAGGAAAGACAATGTGCCTTAATAAAATGAAAAGTTTAGATTGATTTCTGCAGTTGCTACTCCATTTTAATTGTACTTCATTGAAACAGAAATAACTATATCTAGCAATACAGTAGGCCTGTTATTTTTGCTTGTTTTTGTTTTGGTCATGACAAACTGTGAAATGCTGTGTTTTTTCTATAGTTCTAGTCCATGAAATCTGCAATCTTTCCACTTGATTTACGAAGGACCCTTAATTACTGCTGTCATTAGCACCTAGTGTTCAAAACAGTCTGTTTAAATGTACTGTTAGTCTCACCTCCAAGTCCCTGCTTGCTTTATTTTTTCCAAGGGTAAGTAAAACAACAATTGACTTAGTAACAACAATCATTATGTACGGAGAATTAAATAATATTACACATTTTTATGCCTATTTATATTTATTTAGAATTTGGTATTTGTGTGTTCAGACTGGTGTTGACTTAGAACAAGTGTCCATAGGTAGCGCTGTTACTTGTGTGGACTTACTACATGGGTTTTAAAAACAAGTCACTCATTTGCCTTTTTCTTTCCACATGGATAGGGATGACAGACAACTGCTGTAAAGCTTCAATGTTTCTGCCTGGTCATGCACAGTTCTGCAATATAATGCATAAATGTATAACAACTTGGGCTCGCTTGATACCTCCCTTGGAATAAGGAAACCCAACCAGGCGCGTCCCCGCGCACGCGCGCGCGTACACAGACACACACACACACACACACACACACACACACACGCTTCACGCACACACACAGGTCAAAAGTTGATTTATTTCTGATATCCCCCAGAATCTTTCTTCTACCCGTTGCGGGGGCTCCGGACTTCTCCGCAGGGCGGTAGAGAGGTTGGGGGCGTGGGAGGGGCGCGGGGCGCCGAGGCGGCGGAGGCGGGAGCTGGGTGCCGGTGCGAGCCGCGCCCGCTCCTGTCGGGTGAGAGTCCGGGCCGGGTTTTGCGCCGTGTCCGCGGGTTTGTCTCACGGCCTCCAGCCGCCGCCGCTGCCGTGTTTACTGAGCTCGCGCGTCCTGATATCACTCCGCTGGCATGGAGGAGGAGGAGGTGGAGGAGCGAGAGGAGGAGGAGGAGGAGGCGGCGGCGGCGGCGGCGGCGGCGGCGGCGGCGGCGGCGGCGGCGGCGAGCAGTTGATCATTGTGATGGTGGCAGGAGCAGCGGCGGCAGCGGCAGCCCAGCCGAGCGTTAGGGGCTGCTCTCCGCGCGGCGTTTTGCAAAGGACTTCACCGATCTACTTTTGCAGTCGCCTCAGACTGTCCATGTGTTTACTTCCCCCAGCCCGAGGATTCGATATCTAGGCTCCTGTGAAATGCAACTGAGCAGCCAAAGTACTTTGAGAACACGGGGCGGCATAAACACCAAAACTTTTTTGTGGAAGGAAAATGCAATAAGCAAGCTTGCCGTTTTCCGATGCGGTGTGGAGTGAGTGTGTGTCGCGCGTGTCCGCACTGGAGGCATATGCTTGTGTGTGTACATGGGGTGTGTTTTTCGGTACGTAGGGAGAAAATGCTTGCCAACCACCGGAAATCTCCTGGAATTTATTAGAAAATAATGGATTATAAAAAGAAGGCAGGCGAGGAGCGGATCTCCCCTTGAGTTGCAACCCGATTTGCTGCTGGCTCAGTTTGTTGTGATTCTTTTTGTTGATAGGTGTCTGATGGTATTCCGATAACGTCCCCCCCTTTTTTTCCCCTTGAGCTTTTACAGTTTAAAAAAAAGGAAACAACCACCCCAAAATCTCCCTCCCTTTTTTTTCGCCCCGTCGGGATCGCCGTTTCCATCCATGTGCTTGCGTCTCCCCCGCGTTCCACTTAAACTATTTTAATCCTTGGACCCAAGGAGGAGGCTGATAGGGGGGTGGATAAAAAAAGTTCTTCCAAAATAGTGTGCCCGGGGAGCAGGATGGGGGATTTCGCAGCCCCCGCTGCTGCCGCGAATGGCAGTAGTATTTGCATCAACAGTAGCCTGAACAGCAGCCTCGGCGGGGCCGGGATCGGTGTGAATAATACTCCCAATAGTACTCCCGCTGCTCCGAGTAGCAATCACCCGGCTGCCGGTGGCTGCGGCGGCTCCGGGGGCCCCGGCGGTGGCTCGGCGGCCGTTCCCAAGCACAGCACCGTGGTGGAGCGGCTCCGCCAGCGCATCGAGGGCTGCCGGCGGCACCACGTCAACTGCGAGAACAGGTACCAGCAGGCTCAGGTGGAGCAGCTGGAGCTGGAACGCCGGGACACCGTGAGCCTGTACCAGCGGACCCTGGAGCAGAGGGCCAAGAAATCGGGCGCCGGCACCGGCAAACAGCAGCACCCGAGCAAACCCCAGCAAGATGCGGAGGCTGCCTCGGCGGAGCAGAGGAACCACACGCTGATCATGGTGAGGGCGCACGGGCTCTGGGCGCGCGTTGGGGGTGTTGGGGGGGGTTGCGTGGAGCTTTCTTACATGGGGATACGAGGGTCTGATTTGCACGGTGGGAGAGGTGGGCTGAAGCCCAAGGGTTAACGTCAACTTTTCTTAGGGAAAAAGCTGCAGTCGCCGCTACCTGTTAATCTGTCAGGGTTGTCAGATTTGGGGAGGAGGGGGTGAGAGGGGAGAAGCCAGTCACGACTGCGAGGGGCGGAGGGAGCCTAGAGGAGCGACGGAGTGAGGTGCTAGAAAAGTTTCCCCCCGCTCCCTTTCTTAGATACCGATTTGAAAGAGTGAACCCCCGAGTTGAAACCTTGCTCCTCCTCTTCCCCGCTCCCCACCCCACCGCTCCCCGCACCGCCTCGCCTCTCCAGACCCGTCCCTCTACACCCACCCCTGTCTGCACATCCGCCGGGTGCAAGGAGATATTGATGCTGTCGCAGATTCTGGGAGGGCACCAGGCCCTCAACCCCTAAGGGGAAGCGGGGCAAGGAGAGCCTCTCGTCTCTTCTACCCAGCTAACCCCCTTTGGGCTGAGAAAGTCTATGAGAGTTTTGTGAATGAACTTTGAAGTGGGTGAGAAACGAGCGAGGGTGGCTGCGCGCGGGGGTGCTCGCGGGAGCGCGCGCGGAAGCGGGGCGCGGGTGCGCTCCGCTCTTTGCTCAAGACTCAGGGCCAGCCCGGCAGGTGGAGCGGCTAGGAGGGTTAAGAGGGGAGCGGCTTGGAGGGGACTGGAGGGGAAAACACGCAAGGTTTGCGCCAAGAAGCCCCACCACACAATTTCGCTAGGGATTCTTTCCTTTTCTCCTTTTAAACTTGCTTGCCCAGTGTCCTTCTCCGCTTGGCTCCCCCCGCCACGCTGCCCGCCAACTCCGGGGGCCTGCGAATAAGCCCAGAGTAGTGGAAGGTAGCAGGGAGGTGAAAGAGGCTTAAATGGCTGGGTGGGCGGGTTCGAGGTAGGATGAGCAGCCAATGGCTTAACTTCTCCAGGAGGAAGGGGCAGTTCCCACCCCCCAGGCCGGAGGCTAGAATCCTTTCTCTTATCTCCGCTCTCCGGTTCTTCTGCTTTCCTTTCTGGGTGAGGGGAGGCCGGAAGCTTGGGATAGGTGTCTGCGCCCCCTCCCCCACCGCGCCGCCCGAGAGTTGGGTGGGCCGGGCGACAAGAATCCTGGGGAGCGCCGGGGCCGTGCTGACCGCCCCGCGATCGGCGGCGCAGAGCCCGGCACCGGCGGCCCTCCCGGCGCGCGGTTTAGAAATCGCACGCGTTCCCTGTCTGTGAGTCTCCGGCGCCGGTCGTGGTGCCAGTGCCGCCGCGCGCTTTCGCCGGGCGCTCGAGCCGGCGCTCCGTGACAAAGAGTCGGCTTGGGGGAAGGGAGGCGAGGCCGCAGCGCTCGCTCCCCACCTCCCCCAATCCTGCACGTGAAGAGGAACAATTTGTTTATCTTGGGTTTCAAGAGTCCTTCCCTCTTCCCCGTTCTCTGAGGGCGCCCAACCCCTCCTCCCTCCCCTCCCAGGTCGGCGCTATCAGGCCCAGTCCCGCCCGCAGCACCTTCCCTCCTCCCCTTCCTCCTTCCCCTCCACTTCTTCCCCCCCTCCCCTCCCCCCTTCCTCCTCCTCCTGCCCCTCTAGCCCGCCTTCTCCCTCCCTTATGGAACGCGGCCTTGGGGGAGGGAGCGGGAGGCGCTTTGTCCGCCTCGCAGCCCAGCTCAACCCCCGGGGCGGGAGGGGCGCAGTGCCCCTTGGCCCTGCCCCCTCCATCGCGGCTGTCCCCGCCTCGCCGCGCCCCCCATCCCCCCTCTCCCTCCTCCCCGCTCCCCCTGCGGCAGAGCCTGCTCCGAGCGCGAAGAAGGGGCTGTCTCAGTTTTGAGGAAGAACGACAGTCCCGGAGTCAGGGGGGAGGTTCTCGCTTTACAAACAGGAAGCCAAAAACCACTGACACACTGTAGCTTTTCTGATTGTAGCCGGAGGCGGGGCCGGTCCTGCTTCTGGACTGTAGCTCCGGTCCCCTTCTCCAACGTATTTCTCTCCCAGCCCCCGCCCACCTCGCGCCCTCCCTTAGTGGTGGATACTCACTGTGTGAACCTGAGACTGAAAAATTTAAGAGGCACTGTAGGTTTCATCCCTGCCCACCCCGCGTCCTCTTTGCGTGTGTTGGTATCCCCCACGCGCATGGATTGAGGAGAAATGAGCTCCTTTCTGGTGGCTCCAAAATTCCTGTGCCACAGAATCTCTCACAATCTTTAGGGGTCAAGGGCTGTTGTGGCGTTTACCTCGCCAGCTGGGCGACCCTGGAACAAAAGCCAGTGCCGTTACCAGTGCTGGGTCTATTGACCCGGCAAGATAAGTAGAGTTTGCGACCAGAAAGTTTTGGTGTTTGGGTTGTGTTCTCTCCTTTCCGTCCTGGGATGGGTGGAGGGAGGGCTCGGGTGCGCGCGCCTGGGTGTTGATACATTCGCAGGTGGAAGCAAGCCCAGCCTCCTGACGTTACTTGGAAGGAGACAGCAAGCCCAAATCACAGCTTACTTTGGAAAATAAAAAGATAATGCTTGTTTGAATAGCCAGAGACATCAGCTGTAGATTTCACAGTGAATCCCAGTTTAGCAAATTAACAACAGATAGAGTTGAAAGATGACTGCTTGAAAATAAAATTTTTCTATCGGTGTTATGACAATGATTTAGCCTACTGATTAGACTTATGTGTTAATAAATACCAGAGCTATGTACAGAATAGGAGTGTATTTTAGCTTCTGCTGTTACACATGCATCTCTCGCTGATACCAGTGGGAAGTATGTATGATGAGTGTAATGTAAGCCTTAACTCTTAAGCAAAGAGTGCAAGTAAATTCTGTGTATCAATAAAAAGAAAAAAAAAAAACGCTCTACAAGTTATATTTCCTTTTAAAATAATTAGTTTAAAAATTAACCTTGGCTTGAAACCAGGGTATTTTAACAGTCTCTATATGAGGTAAAATCTCAAAAATAGAGGTTGTAAAGAAAATGTTTCTCTTTATTTTCTTGAATTGACTGGGGATTATAGGAGCATTCTGGTGAGGCACAGAGCAATTAAATGTAGTTCTCAGATTGGGCTCTGTTTGGAAAGCCCTAAAGAAAAACGATGATCACCCACAGCCAAATAATAATAACGGTGATATAAAAATAAAGATGAATAGGATTCTTTACTGTTTTATTGCTTTTGTTTACCTTCTTAGGACCAATATGTCCAAAGTACTAAATATCGATTAATTCTCTTTCTGCCTGGCTTGGGCTAAGAAAGCAGTCTAATGAGGGCTTTGCCTCTTTTGATTTGTTTTCCTGTCTTACACATTTACAAGGATGGGCATGAAAAACAAACAAAAACAAACTAGGGTGAGGAGTAAAAAATTTTCCTTGGCTCCAGGCTGCTGCAGAGGGGGCTGGGTTCTGTGTGGGTTCTCACCAGCCCTGTTGATAGAGCAGGTAGCGCAGACCTGGGTTTGAAGCTGCACTACCTCAGGTATTAGGTCTGTTCTGAACATGTAATCAGATGATCCCACCCCAACCGCCACCACTTTATTGACACAGAAGTTTTTTTCCTCCTCTCAAAGACTCGGCGAAAACTATTGACTTCACCTATCAGATAACCTCAGTTGAAAAGATACTTCTTTTGTTTTTTTTTTGAGATGGAGTCTTGCTCTGTCCGCCAGGCTGGAGTGGCTGGTCTCGGCTCACTGCAACCTCCGCCTCCCGAGTTCAAGCGAGTCTCCTGCCTCTCAGCCTCCGGAGTAGATGGGACTACAGATACCTGTGGCCACGCCTGGCTAATCGTTTTGTATTTTTAGTAGAGGTTAGCCAGGATGGTCTCTATCTCCTGACCTCGTGATCCGCCCGCCTCGACCTCCCAAAGCTCTGGGATTACAGGCTTGAGCCACCGTGCCCCGCCTGAAAAGATACCTTTTAATTATTTGTGGTAACAAAAGGGGACATTGTTTATTTGCTGTATTTGGAACTGAAGTCCTGGTTAAAATTTTAAGGTAAATTTCAGTTGACAAGTTCATTTTCAAGCTCAAAGATAGGTTGACCTGACTGGAATGTAATTGTGCAGTCGCGGCGAAAAGCATCTCAGTGCACAGTTTTCAGAATTTCAAAATGGTGGTAGTCTTACTCGACCTAGGTAAGACCCATATTGTTTTCATGACCTTTTCACTGTATTAGCACCATTGTAACTTTCAGAATGTGGGGCTTTAATTTATATAAAGCTTACAGACTGCATAAATTGTTGCGACCCCTGCTCTGAAGAGCTTATCACATAAAATTCATAAAATGCATTTGATAATGCATTAAATACCGAGTATTGGAGATAACTACAACCCATCCAAAATGTTCCATTCATTCCTGGGGTAGATTTAGGAAATGTCAACATATTACTCCAGTGCTAACTCTCCTTGTAAATGAAGCTGGCTTCCCACTTCTTACCCTGTTGAAGGTAAATTACTGGCTCTGTATCAACTTTTTGGTAAGCTCTCTTACCAAGTTATTTCTATATCTTCCCTATGAGAACCTTTTCTTGGGCTTATCCCATCCTGCTGCTAGCGTTGGTCACAGGACAATATCTTTTGAAAAGCTTTCCTTTGCCCAACACTGTGCCTTAAGTTTGGTGGAAAACTTTTTGAAATTTCACTTTTCTGTCCATCACGTTTTTTTTTTTTTCTTTTAATTCTCAAGAAGCATATTTTCAAGCTCCAATACATATTTAATTCTGTTATGTTCTTTGGTTGTGGTACATTTTATTTAGTACTGGGCAGCCAGTGGTCAGAAAAGTAGAAGCAGAGTTAGTTAACCATTAATCAAAATCTACAAAATGCTCTTCAAGCTGAGTTCCTCCCCAGGGAAGCCAATTTTTCAGGAAGCTGGTATGCTTGATACTTTCTATCCTGTCTCATTAGAATTATAACGGCAAACTTTAGAATCTTTTTCAGGTTTTCTGACACCTG